CGGGGGTCTGAATACTTTCTGAATGCACTGTAAAACCTTTCCAGGCCTTCCTCTTGTCTGAATATGCCTTACAAGCAGACTTTGTGGAAAAAATGGGTAGGTGTCTATGTCAAGTGGCACTGTGAAAGAGATGCATCCATGCTTCACTAGAAACAACTTGTCTGAACCCTGGATATGGAGAACATTGCAGAGCTGCTAAGGTCACACCTTGACCAGATTTGTGGAAGAAATCACCTGTCCTCCATTTGCTTCACAGAAGACATCATTTGATCTGTTTTGCCTTCAAAGGATGATATTGCTTCTTTTTTCTGTTGCAAAGAACTCTCTGCAGTCTGGAGTGAAAACAAATTCAGTCAGGTCATCTTAAATTAAGCGCTTCTTATGGCTTGGAACAACTGAACTGCTTGAGGGCTGTAATTTATTCATGGAGCAGTCCAACAGTTCAGAAAGATGCTCTATTACATATCTTTTCATATTATAATACTCCTTTCTCTTCAAAGGTTGTCTTAATTCTAATCAGAATTAATAAATCTGATGGCAAAAATCAAGAAAATGCCTTAGCTGTGGCACCTCAAAAGAAAAAAACTGGAAACAATCAGATACAGTTATGTTTATACTTGGACTGTAGGTTGTAACAATACAAAATAATTTACCTCTGTAGAGCAGAGATGAGCAATTATTTGGTGGCTGAAGGACATACTTGCCATTTCTTTTGGCTGGGAGAAGAAGGTCTGCAGTGGGTGGAACTTTAATATATATCACAGGACTACCTCACAAATATGAGTGGGACCAAGATTTTTTTTTTCTCAGTTCCCTTTAATGGAAGTTGGGGATTTTCTTTTTTTAAATTCCATTTAGCTTTTTAAGACCTACAGTTTGATTTTGTGTTTCCTGCTGGCAAACGGCAGGAAGCCACATCACGTGTTTGTGATTATAAGGAGCTTTGGGACTGCATGCTGGTCTGGGGCCACAGGCTGTCCACTCTCCCTACTCCAGAGCCTTTGGCCCTCTGCTGCCTGTTCAAGTACTCTATTTAAAACACTACATGAAAAGGGAATATTACATAAAAGCCTCTAGTATACTTTAAAGTGTCTCAGCTAAATAAGTGATGGAAGTTGATTAATAGGGTGCTCTCACTCACCATTATGCTTCTAAATCATCCCCCAAATCAAGAACAAGGATCCAAGTATTGCAATTTCCATCTCTTTCCCAGTCAGAAAACTAACCAAGTTAGGAAGACACATATTCACTCCCTTGTGCTTCTGTGATAAGGCTATCACAACTAAAGAACTGGGAAAGTGAATGATCATTTGCTTTTCAGCTATCATGTGAAGAGCTCCCTTGTTTGCTAATAGACAGACATTATGTAGGAGAGACTGAAGGCCAGATTGGATACAATGATCCTGGTTTCATAAGCTGCAGTTTATGAAACTAGAAATGAATTCTTGGCCTGAATGTTTTTTCTTACCCCTCACATGTCCATATGTTATCCTAGTCAGAGTTCCTTGGTATGTCCATAAAAGGGAACTCTGGCATGGAATCCAGAGTTATCCTGACTTAACATCTTTATTAGTAAACTGATCTGAAGCCAGAGTTCCCTATTTGGAATATAACAATCAAGGATCTCTAAGTTAAAATCAACAATGGGAGGGAAGATGGGAGGAGACAGAAAAGAATTTGCACATTTTCAGCTTCATAAACAAGGATTGATATTGCATCAAACTTGATGTAACTGATTAGACACTTTCAACTCCTGCATTTTAGGACTACTTATGGCCATAGCAAAGAGACTTTTGAATACCTGGGATTTATTGAACATCTGCAAATTGATAGCCTTAACTTCCTCCAATTGTTGGCGAAGTGCAACCAAGGTATCTTGTTTTTCATGTGTATCTTTCTCGAGGAGTTTCATGGCAATTTCCATCTCTGTTTTCATTGCAGTCTGAAGCTCCAATTCTTTTTCCAACTCCTTAAAATTAAAATACAAGTTGCATACGTAAAACACTTCACGTATATTATGAAAGCTCAACATATTATTTAGGGCAGCCTTCCCAATCTTATGCCCTCCTGGACTGCTGAATTGGGCTACCTCCCATAGTTCAAAACAGTCAGGGAAGGAAGTTTTACACTAAATAAGTAAAAGGATGTTTTATTTTTACCAGCTACATGGTACATTTTTCTCCACTCAAAGTGCTTTGGCTAGGATCCAAAGAGATTTACATGCATATTTGGACTTTTCAGGCCCTCCAACTCTTTCTAGTACCTCCCAAGCGTTATTGGCTAGGGACTTGTATTGTATTCAAGCAACAACAAAGACTGCAGAGGAAAGCAAAAATAATGGCCTCTGCCTAGCTTTGGGCATAGAATTTTTGAACCCTCACTAGTATATTCTTGCAACCAACTGGAAAGTCTAGTCTTTCTTATATTCAGTGCTAATGAGAAAGCCCAGGCTAATTTACACAAATCCATTTTTTGCATCACTACACCAATCAATATTTGAAAATTAATGTATTTTATATGAACATATATTTATATGAATAAAAGGGGAATTCCAAGGGCTATTCAACGTTTCCACTGCCAGGCAATGGTGGCTATGGGTATGCCCAGAACAGTGTTCTGCTATTCCTCTGCTAGGGTTCTCCCACTTTCCTTGTAATCTCCCCTGCTCACCCAACCCCTGGTTTATTCTGAACATGGATTAAAACCCTCTCTATATGGCTCCTGGCTGATCCTCTTCCCAGAGTCCGATATGGAAAAATTAAGGATGAATTTGCAAATGTAATGTTCAAGAAAGCTCTTGTATCTGCAAAGGCCGTATTTTCAAGCTTTTTACCCACTGCACAATGCTCATTTGGGCACGTGTGGCATTTGACTGCCAGCACTATTCAAACACTAACTGTGAGCATCGGTACAGCATGCTCTTTTTCCTTTTAACTTAGCTGTTAAGGATGTGAGCATTCAAGATGAGCAATTAAGTAATAGTTTAATAACTACTGTGTAGATCAGGAGCAACCAAGAGGTGTCCCCCAAATGTTTCGGAGTACAGCTTTCACAGTCCCTTGCCATTCACTGTCTGGATGAGAGCTGAAGTCCAAAACACATAGAGATCGCCGTGGTGCCAGCCTCTGAACAGATTAGGTTTGGTCTGGAATAAAAACAGGCTGGTGCAAGATCATCCACTAAGCAAAGTACCAGAGGCAGGCAGAGTTTTGCACACCTATCTTCCCTGTCTGATGTTTTCTAGCTTCCACCACAATGGTCTCACTAGTGTTTATACTTGCCCTATGATTTCCAGTTAGGCTTTCATTGAGTAATACTGCTCACTCAATCTTTCTTATTATCCTAGACCAAGTTCAGCATTTTGTAGTACTTAACTGCATTTCAGATGAGAAACGCGGTCAGCTGAGACTAAATTTAACAATTATTTTCTTTCCAGTTGATAAAATATGAGCTCTCACCATTCGAATTCTTTTCTCCTCTTTTAATTGCTTCCAGACATCAGTATACATTTCATCTAGGCCTTGTCGTGATTGTTTATAGGTTTCCAGTTCCACTTTGGTGTCCAGTTTAGTTACCTAAATTAAAAAGTGGGTGAACAATCTGCTAATAGATTGGAGACTAAATGTTTCTATAAGAGAAGTTACAAGTGGGTTGAAACTATGTTATGGAAACTATCAATGGATACTGCAAGCAACAAGTTATTTTATACCTGTGGACAATACGAGCAACAAGACGCTAAAGACTCAAAGACATTTCACTGGATGTATGTTGGTTTATGAAATTGCTGCTGTTAGCAGGGGAAAAAAAAAGCAACACACTCATTTTCATCCATTCATTTCCCTGGAAAAAGGTCAAAGAAAGTTGACTTCTGCAACAATAACTGGGAAGCCCTTTCCTATAGGAGCTGTTGTGCATCTCAGTATATACAGAAGAACTCTGGATGAGGACAATAGCTGGAAACTGAACTATGGACAGTATTTCAATGTACTACTTAATGGTATTCGTTTTAATGAGATGTACTTATTATTTGTTAAAACATCTTGCCTTTCTTTCAAGAGCTGAAGGTAACTTACATGGAGACTGCCCTTCACTTTGCCCCCACAACAATTAATCTATAAAGTAGGTTGGGCTGAGAGAGTGTGACTAATCCAAAGTCACCAAATGAGATGCCGTGGCTAAGGGTGGACTTGGATCTGAGTCTCTTCATATATTCTTTGGATACAGTCTTGCCCATCACTGCACAAAGGTCTTTTTCAATTTGGAGAGGGAAACAAGGTCCTGCTGGAAATAGCTCAACAATTTTCTTCATTCCCTCCACTCCTCTATAGCACTCAGTTCCTCAATTGCTCAAATAACATGGGGCATCCCAATGGGGCTTCTAGTGGAGGGGAAAATCAAAGACTCAACTCTTTTCAGAGTCAGATGCCTAGAGCATACGAGTTTAAATCCTCCTCCTCGTCTAATAGCTGAGCACAAATCTGTATCTAATCTACTGTCTCTTTATCAAAATGATCATATGTTGTTGCATCTTGCAAACAGAGGACTATCCTTCTATGCCATAAGAGATTTTATTTATGCATGTTTTGTACATTTTTTGTGCTAGAAAGAAAAACAGGTAACATTAAAAAACAAACAAACAAAGCAGTCAAGGCTCCTATGTAGTCTGAATATGACCAACTTTTCAATATTTCTGACCTCTACATGCTTTTCACTGCGTTCACGAATTAATTCATTTTCCTGCTTCAGCTCCTGTTGTTCTTCCTGAAGTGCTTTGATTCGATCCGTTGCTGCTGACAGCTGGCAAAAGGATAGTAGAGGGAGGGTGATTAAAAAACAAGATGAGCAACTTTCCCCAAACAAAACATTAATATATCATCCTGCTGTTCATAAAAATCTGCTACTCAACAGTGCCTCAAATGAAGACCTGACAAGACTACATTTCAAGATTTAGCGGCTAAAGCAGATGCCCTTGATTATTTTACTATTCCAAAACAGAAACTAATTACTCTCTTATGTTTTTTCATCCAAGCACTATTCCTTTCAGATGATAGCATGAACTTACTCTGACCGTAATAATTACTTAATAAGTGTTGTAGCTTGATGTCCTGAACATTTTATACACAAAGCATGCATTTGTTTTCTGGAATCCTGAGATAAAGATAAGTCAGATGGATCAGTGGTTTGTTATAAAAGTAGCTTCCCATGTTCCTGTGCCTAGAAGTTATAATCAATCTACAAGCTACAATCTAGGTCTTTTCTTTGTTATTATGCCTCTAGTTTTCTTCAGATATTTGTCTGAGCTATTTAATTTAAAAAGTAAATGAAATAAATGTCACAACCACCACAAACCTCTTCCTGGAGCTTGGAATTTGTTTTCTCTAAGCACTCTATCTTGCTCTGAAGATCTCCAACAGTGCAACTATAAAGAAAGAGGATCAGTATCTGTATAATTCTAACCACTTCATCCCAAATAGAAAAATACGTTTCTAAAAACAGTCAAGGTTCCCAAACTAATAAAATGTGTGAAACAATATGGTCTAATCCAAGGCAAAACTTGGGGTTCTAACTAGAGGGAAGGACATAAGGTCTAGAGATGCTAGAACTCAAGAGAGTAAGGAAAACAGCAGGCTTCTCTAGGTAGGCAGAGCATCCTTTATATTAAAACTGTAGTCTTCATATGAGGGTGGGGGGAATAAAGCATTAACCAGCAAACTATACCTTAGATGTCGATTAAGTTCTTCTACATAATGTTTCTGGTCAAGCACAGCAGTAATTCCTTCATCACTGACATTAAAAGAAAGATAATTTTCTTTTCAGAATAGTCAAGTCTTTCAAGTGCTACATTTACATTAGAAAGGTGGTTGTATAACATACTCATCGTACATGCTACAAATACAAATCCTGAACACCATAATCAGTAGATACAATAATTTACACTGTTTTATACTTTTCTCCTCTTTAATTTGCCTATATCTATTCTGGTTTCCATTTTTTTCTCTGTAAATGCACTAGAGAAGATTAAACTGGACTCATCTCTGATATAGTTTTCTGATACACAGTTTTAAAAAACAGAACCTTAATTATACATACCCTTTGCCATTGTCACCAGACTGTGTATCCTTAAGGTACAGAGAAAAATCAATCACTGCAACCTGAAAAGAAAAGATATACAATTTAATTAAATTAACTGTATTATGCCTCTAATAGGATTCACTGTGACATGCTTTTCATACCCTTTTCACTTTCAAGGAAATGAAATGTAAGGGAATTAAGGGCATTAACATAGTCAATTGATTTTCATTGTCCCAAGCTGAACTCAAATATTTGATTCCTTGATAGAGACCACTTTGACAGCACTAGTGTCCAGTGGAATGAGCCATGCAAGGCAGAGAAGCCGGTATCAGCTACAGAGTATACCAGCCAAGCAAAATTGTTCCAAAGGAGGAGGACATGACTTGGCTGACCCAGTGACACCCACTACAATCAAGCAAGAAAGAGGAGCAAATAAACTGCATAGATGATCTCTGCAGGAGGAAGAGGATGACCACAAGATCCAGAATATGACCACCCAATTTGCATAGACTCAAAGCCTTGCTATTTATGATTTTATTATCTGTGGTCTTATGTTGGAACAGAACTTCTGTAAATAACAAAAGCCACCTGTAAATACAATTATTATATTTTCAGAAACATCTAAAACAATATGAATTCACCCTGATTACCCCTGGTTCAGGCCTACAGTTGTCATTTGGGAGTATGACTTAGTTTAAAGGAGGCAATTTTCACCTGGGAATCCAAGTCTTCTCCTTTTAAACAGAGATTTGCATCAATGACATTTAGCCCCACTAACAGACCCACAATCACAGCTCCTTCTTCTTCCATCATCAAGGCATCAGACTCATAAAATTCACTAGGAAAGGAAAATATAATGATTTAGAGAGGAATATTTTACTGGTCACCACTGTGGAAGATTTACTTGAGGATAATTCAAAAGACTTTTTCTAAACTGAATGTCTCTTATCCAATTTATATTCTGAATACAAACATGGGGCTAGCTTTAGTACAAATGGAAGGGTTTCTTCTTTTGCCGGGAGTTTCAGATGCAGCAATGCTTTTCTCCCTGCAGAGGAGTGAGAGGAAGAGGGAATGGTCTGTCCCCATTTTCCACCGGCAGAAGTGTTCCAAACTGAATTCTGGATCTAATTTAACTGCTTCTCTTTCTGCACAGTAACAAATGTTCTTCTTGAAGAAAAATCTAAAGTACCTTAAGAGACACTTGTGATCCAAGAGTACTTTCAAGTAATCTGCCAGTTTCTTTTGCATCACAGCAAGATAAAGCCAAGCTCTGCCTCTTCCGACTGGAGTCCTACAACCCCACAGGAAAATCACTGATTAAATATGTCAAACTGATCAGCATTGAAAAGGAATCAGAAACAAAATACTGCCAGGTTAAACATAAACAGCATTTGCTAAAAATATAACTATTTTCCACAGAAAATTATTTGTCAGAAGAACTAGAAAAATATTTAGCCTGCCCACTTTTTAACTTAATACTTTTCCTTTAGGTTGAATAAGTATGCAACATTATTGTAAGTATTAAAATACTTGATACAGAAGATTTTGAAAGACAGTAAATAAAAGGCAATACAGTTAATTTTTATTATTATTACTCTAAATAAACAAAAATATTCTGACTTACAATTCTTGTGAAAAAAATATCTGCTTTTAACTGGAGGTCAGCAAATATCATCTGATTAGGTTAACAAATCACTACTAACAGTATTAAGAAGACAATTATAGTAATGCACTGAGATCTCATTCCTTTAAACAATGTTTTCTCTTATTAACCCCAATTAAAGAACCCCAAGATCTGATTCTACTCACTTTAATTCTGGCAGATTTCTGACACTTGTTGCTAAATCTGATGCCTCTGGACAAAGTTTCTCCACTAATTCTAAAGGTCCAAAGAACGATTTGTTCTGCCCAATAAAACTCTTCTTAGCTAGATAAAGGTAGAGCAAAATGGAAGAAAACACATATTATTCTACTTCAGTTCATGTAATGCAGATATCTACAAATACAACTTAATTGGAATGCACTTCTAGACAATCACTGAAAAAAGCTGCAGTGAGTAAATATCTGTATCACAGACTTCCTTATATATTAAAGGAACTTAATATATAAGTAACACACTCACAGTGGGGCAAAAAAGTATTTAGTCAGCCACCAATTGTGCAAGTTCTCCCACTTAAAAAGATGAGAGAGGCCTGTAATTTTCATCATAGGTATACCTCAACTATGAGAGACAAAATGGGGAAAAAAATCCAGAAAATCACATTGTCTGATTTTTAAAGAATTTATTTGCAAAGAGCAATAATTAGAAAATGGAAGAGCAATAATTAGAAAATGGAAGAGCAATAATTAGAAAATGGAAGAGCAATAATTAGAAAATGGAAGAGCAATAATTAGAAAATGGAAGAGCAATAATTAGAAAATGGAAGAGCAATAATTAGAAAATGGAAGAGCAATAATTAGAAAATGGAAGAGCAATAATTAGAAAATGGAAGAGCAATAATTAGAAAATGGAAGAGCAATAATTAGAAAATGGAAGAGCAATAATTAGAAAATGGAAGAGCAATAATTAGAAAATGGAAGAGCAATAATTAGAAAATGGAAGAGCAATAATTAGAAAATGGAAGAGCAATAATTAGAAAATGGAAGAGGTATACCTATGATAAAAATTACAGGCCTCTCTCATCTTTTTAAGTGGGAGAACTTGCACAATTGGTGGCTGACTAAATACTTTTTTGCCTGACTGTAGGAATGTACGATAAAGTATTTCCATATATCATACTCAAGTAACAATCTTATGCATACTTACTGTGGAAGTAAGACTCACTGAACAGAATGAAGCTTCTTTCCAAGTAACCAAATTGCACTGTCAAGTTCTTGCAAAGCAACAACATACACATGCATTTATAATGTTTAGGGCTACTATAATGGAGCTGCAAATATGCAGAAGACCAAAGTGGTTTTCTGGATTTTTGCAGGGTAGATATGGCAGCCCTAATAATTTTATTCTCAAACCTTCTTCTTTAACTAGAGTAATTGCCTTTTTTTTTTTTGGTGCCCTCAAGTCAGTCTTGACTCCTGGCAACTACCTGGACTACTCCCTGCAGTTTTCTTGGCAAGGTTCTTCAGAAGTGGTTTGCCATTGCCTCCTTCCTAGGGCTGAGAGGGAGTAACTGGGCCAAGGTCACCCAGCTGGCTTTGTGCCTAAGGTGGGACTAGAACTCATGGACTCCCGGTTTCTAGTCTGTTGCCTTCACCACTACACCAAACTGGCTCTCACCAGCAGAGTAACTGTTTACTTTATATTATTACCTGCATTCACACATACACACAAAAAGAATGAAACTCAAAACCTGTTCAGTATACCATGTTCAGAAATAAGTAGCATATATACATTTGACAAAATATAATTAAACAAAGTAATAAAAAAACTGGTATTTTAAAAAAATCAGGAATTATATATATTTTTAAAAGCACAGAATAATAAAGACTTAGATGAAGACATGACATTTTAGGAGGCATTTAAAACATGGTAATTGTCCTTGAATATGAGTGGAAAAAACATTCCAGAGAGTGGACCCACTTAACAGAACCACCTCTAGGAAGTCACCTTAGCTGGCTTTTTACAAATTGTGACACAAATAGCAGCCCCTTCCCTGATTATTTTAGGAAGATTAATAGCAAGAAAAATAACTTTCGTACAACTAGTCTCATGTTGTTCAGGGCTTCATATGCTAACTGCAAGACCTTGAACCTGTTTCAGTAACCAATAAACTGTGCCTCTGAGCTGCTTTAAATCACTTCTGGTTCCTTAATGCATAGAAGTAGGCAAATAAGTCAAACTATGCATTCTATTTTAAATGTGTGATTTTTTCCTTTTCTTCATTACTTCTAAGCATTTCTTCATGGTCCAATTACAGAAATGAACTACAACTTTTTGGGTAAGTTCCACAAATATCTGTTGGCTATTTCTGTTATATGGGGATAACTAAATAAAAAAGGCATGGTGTCATTTAACTATTCTTAACCAATCAAAATAATATGTTTTCAACTGCACAAACCCAAAATCAAAGTTGAAGCAAACTTACCTTTAAGGCCATGCTTGAGACAATGTTCTAAAACAACAAAGAACTGCTGCAGAGGAGGGAAGTCAGAATCAAGAGTCCTCCCCAAACTCAAAGCTGACTGGATTAAGACTTTAATGCTCAATTTCATCATATTCACAAGATTGGAACGCTCTTCCATTGTGTGGGATCTGGCTGCTAATCACACATAGACAAATAAACATGCATATAAAAAAACAAAGACTTGTAAAAGATCTGTAGGCTTATTTCAAAAATATGAAACCACACAAATAAGCATTTTCCTGTCATGCTAAAAAAAAAAAACCACCTCTGGAACAGCATATACAGGTACTATTCATAAAAAGGCCAAAAGGCTCTAAGGTATTTTTAGACAGCAAAAATGCTTAACAATAATGCATTCTAAATCAGTATGGCAAAATGCAACCAGGTATGTGTGCGTATGCCAAAATGTGCACATAAAGAACCATGTCACCCTCATTGAGTTTTGGTATCTGCAATGATCCTTAAAAGTGCACATGTTCTTCTCCCCAGAAGGATGCTTGCAGTGCAACATTTTAATACTATTTCATGTTCCCTACAGGAATGACCATCACAGCTGTTTATAAACACAAACAGAAGAAATCTTGTAAGCTTGTTAATACAGAAAATAGTCGAGACTACAGAAGAAACCCCAGGGTTCACTCTTGGCCTTATTCAGGGGTTCGAGTGAGAAAGCAAACATTTCAATTTCCGCACAAAATCGGGAGCAGAAGCAGTTTTCCTTAGCAAAGAGGGCAAAGTCATGGGCGTCCTCGTGCATGCGTTTCTCCATGGTCCCACACTTACAGATATACGTGGGCTGCTCAGTGCTGATAAGCTTCCCCGATGTCGATCCCCCACTCTCCACCCCCCCGGAGAGGACCATCTTATACTCCCGCCTTCCCGCAGGCAAAATCCTCATTTCCTCCCTCCCCCTTCATTCCCCATTGGGTTTCTCACCTGCACCTGCGTTACCCGAGCAACATCTCCCACCCCCTCCACGTCCAAAGAAAGGTTCCTCATTGGACAAAAGCATCCCAGTCTCTGACGCCTTTTCCGCGAGCCAATTACAACTCTGCGTGAACCACTCCAAGGGTCCGGATTGGTCACGCTCTCCCATTAGTCCTCTCATGTTTTGACAGGGTAGAAAAATGTTCAGATTCCCACCCCCAAGCTCGCTTCTCATTGGACATAGAGGCAAGTTGGCTCGAGCAAACTCTGCGACATTATAAACAAGAAAGCGGAGGCGCCATTTTAGTTTGCTCCTGCATCCGGAGGTCGCGGTTTTCTAAGTCTTTCTCGCCCGCCACCTTTGGCGGGCAATGAGAGGCAGGCTTTAGCCTCCATTCCCATTTAGAGTCGCTTCCCTTTTCCCGGAGAAACCGACATCTTAAAATCCATTTTCTAACTGGAATTCAGTTCTGTCTCCTCACACCCTTCATTTTCAGGATCTCAGGATCATAGAGCCGGAAGGGGCCATGCTGTCCCACCTCCTGCTCAATACAAAATGAAGTATCTCTGACGGATCTCCCGCCAGCCTCTACCTAAGACAGGCTGGGAGGAGAGCCCACCCTTTCCCTAAGCACCTCGTTTCATTCTCGTGCGGCCCTGCCCCAGTTGTCGCGCCGTCCGTTCTTTCGGGTTGCTTTTACCGCCCTTTCCCAAAATGACCGACCTCGCCGGATAGGTTTAATACAGTGTTTTTCAAAGTTGGATATTTAAAGAAGTGTGGACTTCAACTCCCAGAGCTGACTGGGGAATTCTGGGAGTTGAAGTCCACACATCTTCAAGTTGCCGACTTTGAAAAACACCAGTTTAATACAACCTAAATGTCCTGAGCAGCCTAAATAAAGCACCACACTAAGATGGGGGGGGGGGGTGATCGACCCAGGCTACAACTATAGCTATAAGGAATCGTAGACAGAACTTCTCAATTAAGTTTTGATCTTTGCCAGTATGCTGTGGTTGGGACGCAGAGTAGCTACTGATTTGTAAGATTATATGGCCAGACTGATGACATATGAATGAGAAGCAGCATTTCTGTAAGTTGTATGATGTACTGCGTGTATTGGTACCGATATGGATTGTGCAGGGGACAAAACCAAAGATGATCAGAAACCAAAAATTTAATTTTATAAGCTTGCAAGCTTTTTTAAAAGTGATAAAAATTTTATCTGCACGTGGTCATTACTTTTAAAGCTTTGAATAAAAATAAATTAAACCACTGAAACAAATGTGATGGATGTGCAGGGAAAAGGAGATCCATTTTTCCAGGAGGATATTTGGATACACTTCAGATTTAATCCTAAAAAATATTTAAAACATGATATTACACTAAATCCCCACTTTAATATAGTTTATTCTAGAGTATGGATAAGATTGCTGCCTTAGTTAGAAGCAATTTTCATTGGTGTTGGAGTTTATACATCACTGTACACAGGATATCAATCTTGTATTCACTTTCACTTAAAATTGCTGAATATTTTGTAAAAATATGGCTGACTATAACTTAATGGCTCAGCCTTTTAAACCATATTCCCCACCAAAGACCTATTAAAGACAGGTTACTCACTAAGACAATTTTAAAAAATAAGAATTTGTTGAGATGAAGTATATGTTTTGCATTGTATTTTCTCCTACTTGAGAACACTTTTGTATTCCTGATAAATGTGACGTTCCTAAATACAATAATCTATTTGATGGTAATAAATTCTTCCTGAGACTTTTAATATATTAATAAATGTTAATTTTTTCTCACTTTGAAAGCAATTGACCATCGAAACTCGGTTTCCTTTTACTGAATATTCAAAACGTTGAATAGTTAACTGTTGGGGAAACTTTTATTTGGATTCCTGCACTGGGGAGGAGATCTAAGGGGCTAAATGGCAACTTCTCATATTATGGGTGACTTAGTACGAAACATTTTTTCTTTTTTCTTTTTTTGGGGCCTTCAGGTCAGTCTTGACTCCTGGCGACTGCCTAGACATCCCTGGAGTTTTCTTGGCAAGGTTGTTTCGGAAGTGGTTTGCCATTGCCTCTTTCCTAGGGCTGAGAGAGAGTAACTGGCCCAAGGTCACCCACCTGGCTTTGTGCCTCAGGCAGGACTAAAAAACTCATTGTCTCCCAGTTTCTAGCCTGGTGCCTTAACCACTACACCAAACTGGCTCTTCAGTAAAAAACATTAGCCAACCAAATGTTAGTCTAATATGTTGTGTGAACCCAGCCTGGGGGGGAGAGGGGAATCAGTTTATAACTTAATCTCTCATACAAACCCAAAACATTGGCTTCATTGAATAAGCCATGATTTAGCTACCACAGTTAATACCATTTTTCCCCCAAAATCCGTAAGTCAGATAACCCTGATATCCTGCAGGTTTGGACACTAAAACAATACAAAATAAGGTATTAGTTCTATACACTCAATTGTATATTCCCTAAAGTATAAATACAATAATCTGCTAATCAGTATTGGAAAGCATAATTATAAAACAAGATGAACTGATACAGGATTAAATTATGAATATAAAAGTAACAATGGTTAGGAAAGGATTACCATTTTTTTCTTGTTTAAAGAATATATTTTTTCTGACTGTGAAGTATGAATAATGAAACAGTTGTATCAAACTTTTCATCTTAAGGTCAATATTCTTGAAATGAAATTTATTTCTCAAATTCTGATGAATGTATGTATATGAATTTACATTCCATTCAACTGATTTCTCTGCATCATTAAGACAATCTATTTTTGCCACATATTTTATACATGGAGTTAATTCATACCAATCCTGCTTTTAGGACTAGAAATATGTTTACATTCCAAGGGTTCACACTGTATTTTCAGAAGCCAATATTAAATGCTTAATTATATCACTAGAAATTTGCACTGATAGGACAATACTAGAATTCCTGCAGGTAATTAGTTTTATCAAGTTTATTTTGGAAGTTGACCATTGTTAACACATTATTTATTGTCAAGCAAATAATGCTTACATGGGAGTAATTCTTAGTAAACAGCGATTCTTAGTCTTGGGAGTATTACATGGGAATAATATTTACATGGGAGTAATTCTTAGTAAACTAGTGATTCTTAGTCTTCCCCCATAAATGTAGAAATGTAATGCTATCATGTAAGTGTCCCCTGCACTTTAGAGCAGACTGGAATTTTTCCGTGTGGAGAGCATTTCTGACTCTATTTTCAAAATTCTTCTGCACTAGGTGTGTCTTGTTTAGAATATACAACATACTTCAGTTCTTGGCAAAAACAACATGTGTACTAGGGCTGTGCAGCAATGCACATTCGAAGGAGAATTTGATTTGAGAATGTGTGGGGTGTTCATGTTGTACCTGTTAGAAACTCCTTAAAGAAATGTACCTTTTCCTGGGTTTGTCCCAACAAAACATATGTTTGACTTAAGGAGGTGGTGACAGGTGTGCCAACACATGTTCTAAATAACCTTTTTCTCTTTGAATTTGAATCACTGCACAATCCTAATGGATATATCCTAAAGGGTAGGACCTAAGCTAAACAATATCTTTGTCAGCACCATGTTTCATCTCTCCCTTTTGTAACTCACACTTTATTCCTTTCCAGTTTACTTAAGAGCAAATGTTTGTATACTAAAAATCTCTGGGTTTAGATCTTTTCCCCATTCTGAATTTATAATACTGTAATATGTAAGACTGTACACAATGTAATTTACAAGACATTTCCTAGCATTAATCATAATCTGATGGGCTTCAACATTACATTTAGTAAATAAATGTAGTTGCCAATTTCTACACAGCAATGTTTTCTTTTGGTATTTCAATTCAAGTAGAACTGTACTGCATATAAGTCATATAAAGAAAACAAACCAAGCCATAAACGTTGCCCTGGGCCAAGGGCAAAAAAGATGGGTCTAAAATTGAGAATCCCCTACCTTTTTGTCAACCATCCAAGGTCTAATTCACAATAAACTGAATTAGAAATATCCAGACCAATTTACCACTGGTTTTCATTTAGTTTTCTAGAACTGTGCTCTTGAATCTATTTTCAGCTTCAAGGCATAGACCTTCAACATATGGAGATCATCTCCAGGCATTTGCAGAATATTTAACAGAAACAAGTCTCCCAATGTGGGATAGAGGGAAAAGCTCCCAGATCAAAGGAAAGTCGTCTCCCCGAGCCAAGACTGCTGAGCCTGGGCATTTCTTCTAGAAACTGCATTTTTCTAGGATGCACAGTTAGCCGGAACGCAGTCACACCGAAAGTTTTCCTGACCCAGCCCCTCCTCTACCGTGGGAAAAGCCACTTACTCGTTTTACACCCCACACCACCATTACCAAATACAAGCAATAAACATAGCCATACTTTGTTTTGCTGGGCTGTCATTGCTGACTGGTTTGTGAATGAGTCCTACCGAGGCTGCAGACTTCAGAGCGTTTCCATAGCTCACTGCCAAGTTTTCCGAGGCCCTCTTGGCCAGGGAGAAGATGGGAGCGGACCAGCTGGCATCTGGGCCCCCCCTCTCTTTGCCATTGCTTTTCAGCTCAGACGCGCTGGGGATCTGGGCGCTATCAATGACTTCAAAATCCTCCCTCGCTTCAGCCGCAGGTCCATCGCCACTCTGCCCTTCTGCGGCCATCTTCCTTGGGTCATATGACACCCGTCAGGAGCCGCCGAGCCGCAGAACTTCCTCCTGCAGTTGCGCTGCGAGTTGGCGGCCCGGCCGTCGGAACTCGGTAAACAGAAGCGAAGCCGCAAGCGAGCTTACGCAATTGGCTCGCTGTGCTCTCTCCCCGCCGTTGATCTACGCTAGACGGCCTCGCCCGGCTGCCGGAGTTTTCTTCCCACGTTTTTGCTCGGAAGAAATCCCACTTGTATTTAATGAGGCTTGTTTCCCAGTACGTTTCCTGGGATACTAGTCTCAGTTTCATTGAAACTGGTGGGAGTGGGGTGCCCTCCCTACGCATACTGCTTTTCTTATAACCTCCCCCCCCACCCCACTTTCGACTAAAACCCAGCAAGGTTTTAACAAAAATCGCTGTAAAAACAGACCAGAACCCCCTTTGAAAGCCCAAATGAAAGAGATGGGCCCGAATACCTTTCCTTAGCGATGACATGCGTTATGGGGGGGGGGGGACTGTCCGAAATAATACATTTCGTTTTCACCTACAAATATTTTACTGTTATATTTTGTATTATTTAAATTGCCGGAA